TTTTTTTCTTTTTTCTTTTTTTTTTTTTTTTACAGATAAGTCGATTTTCCAAAATCGTTGGACTCCCGTGTGATCGATGAACCCCCATTGGTTGGAATCGAAACGATTTATCGTAACGTATCACTTCTTCAGACTTTTCTTCCTTTCATCCGAGCACGTCGAATCGAATTGATATCCTTAAAAATATTCTCTGGTCCTGCAACGCACATGGTGAAGAACCATCTGTGTTAAGAGTTCTTAAAAATATTATCCGCTCGAAACGAAGGACGATTCCTTCCTTTTTCTTTCCTTTTTGCACGGCGAAGGAAATGTAAATTCTTTTTCTTCAAAGATTTCCTCCTTCCAAGATTCATCCTCATTCTTCGGGATTCTTCGTATCACCGAGCTGTGTAAACCACGGCTGTCCCCTCTCTCTTTCCGTGTCCATTTTTCTTTTTTATGCATCTTTCTTTCTCTCCTCTTCCGACAAAATGGCGCGATCGAAGATACGCGCACATACGCTTAATCACAATTACGGAATACCGATTAATAATTCCATTCTCCTAAGGGCGGCGGCTTCGTGAGCGCGTGTTCGTTATGTACATTTGTTCCACAGGAACAAAGGGGGTCCTTGGATCGATCACACGTACACGGTTCTCTCCTCATCGATCACGATCAACTCTCGAGATCCGAGATACTTTCTTTCCCTTCCTTTCTCTCTCTCGATCCCTCTCCGTCTTTTTCTCGTTGTTCCGCTTCAGCAGGTACAAGGTAAACCGGAGTACTCTCGCGAGGTACTCTCGAAACGCTTCTTTTTCGCCTCCAGTTTCCAGATTCGCCGAGATGAGGGAACCAAGTATATATATTATAAATATACCGATCGATACCGTTCTTCTTCTCTCTTCCGTGCTCGATCGATCGTTACGAACACGCGCGCCGCAACGCTTACCCGTCTCTCTTCTTTTTTCTTTTTTCTTTCCTCTCCTCCGTTTTTTGCATTCTGTGTGTACATTAGCGTAGTACATTAACGATGAGAAGCGTAATGTAAAAAATCTATAAAAAAAAAAAAAAAAAAAAAAAAAAAAAAAAAAAAAAAAAAGAAAAAAAGAAAAAATAAAAGGAGGCTGGCCCGTCTGTTCGACCCTCTTTTACAAACTACGTCCTCCTCTTTTTTCTTTTTTTTTTTTTTCCTCCTCTCTCTTCTCGCTTCCCTTCTTCCTTCCCTCCACAAAAATTCCATTCAACAAATCCCTGGAAACTGATCGCCTTTCTTTTTCTTTTCCCTTCATCCTCGTCCCTTTAAATTTGCTCCTCTCTTCGTATCGTGTGGTCTTACTCTTGTGTGTCTCTACTCTTTCTTAACCTTCATGTATATAATATATATTTATAGATATCTATATACATACACGTGTCTATGTATATACATATCATAGCTAGTCGAAAATTGAGGCTCAATATGCTCGGCAGTCTATTGTCTCTCTTGGCTCTTCTTCTTCTTCTTCTTCCTCTTCCTCTTCCTCTTTCTAGTTTTATATCCGATCTCTTTCTCCGATCTCGCTTCTTCCATATCTTCGCTTCCTCCACAGCCTGTATACTCTCTTTTCATTCCTCCAACGTCTTTTCACTTTGTGTCCATGTATATTTTATCTTCCCTGTACAACTTCTTCTTACTTCTCTTCCTTCTTCTTCTCTTTCTTTTTCTTCAGGCTGTCGAAAAAATTCTCTTCTTCTTCTTTTTCTTCTTCTTCTTCTTCTTCGTTCAACGTCTCTCTTCGCGTGAAGAGAACAAACTCGTCCGCACGTTCATCATCCATTCGCGATTTCGGAGAAGAATTTTATTCCCACTGGTGAGGAGAGGGTGGCAGTTCCGAAGGATGAGCCACTGTGGAGCTGCAAGTCGTACGAACAGATCATTAGTACTTGCTATTTTAAGAGAAAACGAGTCTTTTTTTTTTAATAACTTTTTTTTGATTTTTCTCTTTTCATCGTTCGCTCTTTTTTTTTTTTTTTTTAAATAATTCGGGGGTGTATATTGTCTCGAGTGAGAACTCGAGCGGGAGAAACAGAGGTGTAACTACTTTTCAAATCCCCGCTTCCGGGCTTTCAAAAAAAAAAAAAAAAAAAAAGAAAAAGAAAAAGAAAAAAAAAGAAAAAAACACAAGGACTGGGGACTTGGTAAAATCTTGGAAATTTTTCTACGTATATACGTTTATACGTAGCTCTCTCTCTCTTTCTGTCTGTTCTTCTTCCTCTTCGTATTTTTAGCAGCTTTACTAAGCCCCACAGTCTTCGAGAGTATCTTCGAGCCAAGATCAACGAGACGACTCGAGGGATTCTTTTTTTCTTTTCTGCAATTTTTCAACAAGACAAGTATTATGAAATTACAAGATTATACAGTTATTTATTATTATTTATTATTTCTCCTTTTTTTTTTTTTTTTGGAATTTTCATTTAGAAGAGAGACGATCAATGCGATATATCGACAATTGGCTCGACGATACCCTTTGCGCGGAGATTTGAACACTAAGAAACTGTACACGACGAAAGTGCAAAGTGCTCCTCGCTATCGTAAAGGTATTTATTTTACGTGGGCAATCGTCGAAAGCATACGTTCATACGGCACTTCGAGTTTCGTCGAATCTAAACAATCGGGCTAAGGGATGATATGGTATGGTGATTCCAAAAAAAGGGGGATGGGGCAGCATATCGTCAACGAGTGGCAGCAGTGCGTCTCGAAAGTGTCGAAATACAAACGGTGAGAGGATGTACTGAACTCAATTCAAATCGAATTAAGGAAAGATCGTGTGATCAAAAGTGTAAAATAAAATAAAAATAAATGGAAGAAAGAAGGAAAATAAGTCCAAAAAAAGAAAAGAAAAAAAAGTAGAAACGAAGTATTAGATCTTAGAACTTGATTAGGTGCCTTTCTTACGTATTAAAAATATATTTATAACTCTGGTTTAAATCTGATAAAATAATTTGTTTCAAATATGCATGAATAAAAATTTTTTAGAGACAATCTGAAGAGGAAATCTTTAGAACATTTTTAACTGCAAAAAAAAAAAAAAAAGAAAATCAACGAATAAAATTCGTCATCTTTCTTTCTCAAAGGATTACACATTTAAAATAAATATTAATTACAAAGGCACCGAGTTCTTGGATCTAATAATTTATCCCGACCCCATAAGAGAATAAAAACAGAACTTTATCCAAAAATCGATTTTGAAAGGAAAGAACAAGGCCATGGTTTTTACTATGGAAAAAAAAAAAACGAAACTACGAGGGGTTGATAGGCTATAATTACTCGCTCTCTCTACCGTGTGTCTCGATATCAAACTGCATATTTACTTCTACTAGATTGTAATAATGCGTCTCGATTAATATCGAGATTCTTTCTTTTTTTTTTTTTTTTCTTAATTTACATACTGTTAACAAACGACGAATGAACAGAAGCGCTTCTAAGCAACTATTTGCCTCTAAGCTACCAGATCACGTCGTTTTTTTCAGACTTTTCTCGACCGAGGAAACGCTCTGCGTTCTCGTGACGATCGGATTCGAAGAGTCGCGTGGATCGTTGGATCGATCTCTCGTGCTCGATCGCGTTCCAGATCGTTTCAAACGCGAGACATGAATCAACGGAAGTATCCACAATGTGCGTAAGTATTTACGAACTTTTCGCCGGATCGTTATCGATCTTTGAATCACAGCGGCTTCGTGTAAAAAAGAAACGATCGTGGAATAACTTTTAACTTGGGATTATTTCGAAAGTTGAACTCTCTCTCCAATTTAAATCTTCAATTTAAATTGAAAATTGGAGAGAATTAAAGTCTTCTCGTTAAAAAACAATCCTCTTAAAAGAATTCCTGTTTCAAATAACTGTGTATATATATATATATCGTGGCAAATTATATTTCAAATTGTATTACGATACGCAATAACTTGAGAACGTAAAAGCGTTGAGAAAACAAAAGAAAAAGTATCAACACAGGCGAAATTGTATCGGTGATACGCGATAACTTGAGACGTAAAAGCGAAGAACGAAAACAAAAGAAAAAGTATCAACACGCAGGTGTTCTTCAAACGGTCGGCCATCGCTGCTTGCGCAGTTTGACTCGGGTGATCGAACGTGAATCATCAAATCCTGCTACGTTTCAGTGAATTTCGTGTTAAGTGTGGTTTAAGTGTGGAAAATTCAATCCTTTTTAAATAATCCCAAGAAGATCGTTATCTTCGCGTGCGTAGAGTTTCGAGATTATAAAGATTGGTTCGATTGACAAGGATTCGGCGATTCGAAATACTCGTTTCTCGCACACGTGTATAATTCGCGAAGACTCGACTCTTCAAATTCTACGTTGCCGGGAAGACAACGGAATGAAAGGGAGGTGCGACCGACTAAGTCTGGAGCTGAACAAAAGAACAAAAAAAAAAACGTTTCATCTGATTTCCATGCAGCTGTCAGCATGTGTGACAGCCGGCCATTAATCACGACTTTATATAAATATTTTCTTCTTTTATTTCTATTTTTTTTTTAAATGCTTTTCGTAGTTTGATCAAGAGATATATATATATATATATTTTTTAGTTATTATCATTTCTCTTTTTAGCTCTCTTTCCCTATTTGTCTCGTCTGTTTCTTGCAACGTCTCCCCTTCACGTCTCCGCCACCATATTTTTTTTAGCCACCGTTCAAACCGTCCTACAACTCGATAACTCGCGAGTTCTCCTCCGCCTCTAATCTCTGCCTCTGTTTCGGCTTTGCTTTGCCAAGCTCGAGGAAAGAAAAATTGGAAAACTAAAATCATTAGAGTTCTCGAAAATATCCGTCGCAAGTTTCGAGGATCCCGATTCGCGTCTCACGCTTTATTCGATCACGTTCTCTGAAAATTACTCGCTTCATATTCGAGAATATTCGAGAATATTTTATTAGAATAGTTGAAATAGTTTCGACCGATGGTTGAATAAAGTAGGCGTTTGAATTAATTGGCTTCTGAAACCCTTCGTTCTCGAGAAATTCAACGTTTTCCCAATATTATTATCTCTGGAAGAATCTTCAAAGAATAAAGAAATATATATTTCTCTCGATTTTATCCCCCTCCCTCTCCCACTAATCCCTTTCTCCTTCGTTCTTCGACCTTCCTAGACCGCGTCGAAATTATTTCTGGAGTTTAAAAAAAAAAAGGAAAAAAGATTAAAAGTGACCCCGGTCGCTTCTTTTCTCCGCCTTCCTCCTCGTCCAAAGCGGATAAAAGCGACGCCGCGCTGTGTCGTTAGCCCCGCTCGCTTTTGCACGCCCGATTCTCGCGAAATTCCGTTTCTCGCTGTTTCGTGATGACACGAGAGGTTTCTTCGTTTTTTTTTTTTTTTTTCTAAAAGAGAAATCTTCGATATTCCATTAAACCAATCGGGGACTTTAGTTTACGATACACGAATCGAAAATAATTTTTATCCATGCCAAATGGAATTCTTCGAAGATATTATTATAAGATACGAATCAACGTGAAAACAAAGCGAGAATATTTTTTCCTATCATAAGAGGGGGCGGGATCGAAGGCAAGAATTCAACAGTTATTCGATCGCGAATAAAAGTCGAACAAGAAGAGAGAAGAAACTAGTTTCCTTTGTTAGTCAATCGCGCGTCACCTCTTGGCAAAGCAAATCCGGCGGTGGAGAAAATTTCCAAACCGAAAAACCCATGTCGCGTCCCGGATTTGGCGAAATGACAGTAATAACTTCGCGGGTCATTGGTCCTTGAAAAATCACGCGCACATTCTGCGTGGTTACCGTCGATAGATCGGCGAAAAAATTCTCTTTTCAGCCTCCGTCTACCATTGTACCGTACAATCTTTGCAAAAGAGAATGGATAAAAAAAGAAAGAAAAAAAAAAAGAAGAAGAATTACAAAAACAGCGTACAAAAGTCAAAAATGGAAAAAAAAGGAATATATGTAAAAAATAAAAATATTTTCTTTGGGAACATTGCGGATAAAGTTTCATCTTTCCTTTTTTTCTATTTTATCTTCGATGCTCGTAATACGCTTTAAATACGATAAAAAAAAAATATATATATATATATGTAAAAAATTAATAGTTGTGTTAATTCGAAGATTACGGTCATTGTGCCAACAGCCAGATCACGCCAGGACTTCCAGTCGAAAATCACTTATTGAATATAGAATTATCGATTCGAAGGATATATTCAGGGATGGGAATCGTTTAAGGATTAAACTCTCAGAATGGTAATATTAGATGGAAAATATTCGTTTGATATAATGGATTAATTTTCAGATGGATCAGAAAGGTATATCCATCATCATCAAGTGGAAAAATGAAGCGTTTGGATTTCCATGGAAATCGTAATTTTTTTTTTTTTTCGGGAAACGGGCATTTTTAAGCATTTATTTGGATTTTCTCTAGGAAATCATTCTCTCAGGAGAATGGAGATCAGTTTCAAGAGGATCCTATCCAGGTGCTTCTACGAAAGAGAGTATCGTTTTTTCCCCCCCTTCGTCCGATTCTCGATAAGAATCGCGATCCGTCCAATCGTTTTTTTTTTTTTTTTTTTTTAAATCATATTTCTTTTCTCCTCTCTCAGGCCCGTTTCTCTCAACTGAATGCTGCATGGTTGATCAGGCCTTTCTTACACTCCTCGTGTCCAACAAAGCGCTCTTTTCAGCCGTTCTCTCTCAGCGTTATTTACAAGTACCACTTTCACAGCGACTCACGATACGAAATGTAAGAAAAAAAAAAAAAATAAAAAATAACACACCAGCGACCAGTCCATATCTCGATGATATACAAAAAAAAAAAAAAAAAAAAAAATCGAGACAAATTTTTCAAACGATCAACCCTAAATTCTTGCTTAGTCAGTTGTGTATCAAACGTGAGGTAAGATGCGATTATTCCACGTAACTTGTTCCTTCGAGCTCCTCGAAGATCCCCCAACTTGGGAAACGGACTTTGCACACGCGTTATCTTTAATCTGATCTTTAATCCAGGATTTTATATCCACTTTTTTTTTTCCACGAGTGTCGTTCGTTAATTCGTTAAAGGTCTCTTTAATCGGTCGAGCTGCTGTTAATTAGCAAAACTCGATGAAAAGCGACGAGTGAATCCCAATTAGAGAGACTATTCGCGCCTTTCATTCAAAGTAGTAGATTTGCAAATATTTTATCTTGTCGATAAAAAGTTTTTCACGTATCGTATTTGGAATTTCTATTTTTTTCCTCTTTTCCTTATTAAAAGTTATCGGTAAAAAGAAAATGTTATTTGCAAAACAACGATCAAGATATTCTCATTCGCGTTATCCAACATCGATACGCGTGAAAAAAAAACTTTGATAAATTTGAATAGAGAAGAAAATAGGAATTCCAGTTTCATCGCATCCTGTTCCATTTAGGCGATTGAGAAAACGCGCGAGGGAACTCGAAGAATCCCCATATTTCTTTTCAAGGAAAGAGGGCATCCTTTTCTTTTTCCCTTTTCTCTCTCTTTCTCTCTCTCCCTCCAGAATTTCTCCCGACGTGTAATTTTTCTCCCGTTAATTCAATTTTCTCTCGTCGTAACGTCGTGTAACATCACGCGACGAGGATTAAACGCGTTTGAAATTGGGGACGAATCGATCGATAAAATTGGCAGACCTTCGAGGAGCAGGCCAATAGAGAGAGAGCAAACTCAATTATAGGAGATTTACGATTCCAAGTAGCCGGGAAGGCTTCTCGAATCGTGTCAGGCTTGGATCGGAAGTCGGTCGAGCGAGCTGGTCGGTGGCGTGTGCATCCGGCAACGTGTGTTTCACGAGGACCCATCATACACACATATATATATATATATATATATCAAGCTGTTTGACTCTATACTCATTCACAGTATATATATATATATATGTATATATGTATGTATTTATATATACACAGTATCAATCATACAAAAG